GAAGAGGAGGAGGAGGAGGAGGAGGAGGAGGAGGAGGCCATCCATCCAGCCAGCCAGCCAACCTTGCAGACGTGCTGCAGCGAATTTTTGCGCGGAGTTCTGCCAGTGCAGAACAACCCGAAACGGCGAGCGAAAAACGAGAGAATTTTACGCGGATTGTTGGTGGTCTTCAATTCCTGGCCAAAAAATCCGCACGAAGTTCACTTCGAAATCCAGAGCGAAATTCTCCAGAACAGTCCAGGCCATCCCAATGTTTTCCAAACGAAATCCGCTCTGTGAAGTTGGCGCCATGACAAGATGAAACAGCCAATCCAGGGAGGGGGGACCAGGGGGAGAGGAGAGGAACTTGAAAACAAGCAAGTGCGGTTCCCTGGTGCCGGCCTCGGCAAAAAAAGAGCGGCGCCAGAGAGGAGAAAGGGGAGGGGGGAGGAGGCAGGAGAGTAGTGCAGAAGGAAAAAGGAGGAGATCGGACAGGCAAATGCAGCTCCTTGTGGCCAGCCTGCACGAATCGGCGCTGAAAACTCAGGGAGGCAGGGGTGCAGGGAGGTAAGGTAGGGAGGAGAAGAGCAGACTGGACAGGCAGCTGCGGCTGTCTCCGGCTACGATGGCAGGCGCCCACAGAGTCGAATCGATAAGTCGGATCGGCGATCGAAATGGATCGGATCGGCGGAAATCGGCTGCCGAGTCGGGAAAAGTCGAATCGGCAGAAATCGGCTGCCTGGTAGGCCTCCATCAAGAGATCGGAGCCCAGATCGGAACTCAAAGCCGAATCGGATCGGGATCGGAAGCCATCAAAATCGCCGATCCCTTGTGGGTCTCCAGGCGTGCGAGATAGTTTCCCCCCCCTAACGCGCCCCCAGGGAACCCCAAACCAGAGATTTGACCACCACCCTGGCCCGGGGCGACCCTGGACCGAGCGCGTCATGGAAGGGCAGGGGGCCCCAAAACAGGCTAAGACGGCCCAAGAGAACCCAAAGACCGCCCAAGACACCCAAGATGGCCCCAAAACGCCCAAGATGGCCCCATGACGGCCCCAGGGGCCGCCAAATCGCCCCTAGAGGCCTCCAAGAGGCCTCCAAAGAGGACCCCACGGGGCGACAATGATTGACGTTCCTTTGTTGTTGTTCGAGGTTTCTGGGGTTTTCGACCTCGCGGCTTTCCGCTGCGCCAAGACCGCCTAAGACGGCCCCAAAACCCCTCCAAGACGGCAAGAAACCCCCGACACAGCTCAAGGGGGACCCCGAACGGCCCAAGAGGCTCCGATGACGGCCCAAGAGGATCCCAAGACGGGGCCCAGAGAGGCCCAAAATGGGGACCAGGAACTGACAAATCTGGCCTTCCGCCCCAAGACGCGCCCAGGAGGCCGCAAGAGGGCCCAAAGAGGCACCAAGAGCAGAGGCAACGTGCTCGTCGCACGGTGCAGTTCCCTTCTGCACCAAAGAAAGAACTTTCAAAGTGGATTTCGGGCAATGGTAGACTGCATCACTTCTATGGGGAATTTCGCATCTGTCAAAGCATCCACCGAAATAAATATGAACTGCCTGGCCTCGCTCCGATGCATCGCCTCCTCATCTGCAAGGAGCCGATTGGCAGCCTCCCCATCATGGGACGACCTCGCCTCATCGCCGAAGGCGGCGTCGAAAACTGCTCCGAGGCACGCCCCGCCTGCCACGACGACGTGCTCAATTGAGCCGAGGGGGGCCCATCGAGTCTTGATCGCTATCCCTGGCGTTTTGCTGCACATGAGGCTGGCTGCCTCATCGTTGAAGCACTCAGCGCACGTATCCCAGATGAGCCGACCGCTCCTTGGCACCCCCTAGATGTTCGCAATCGCAGCATGCCTCGACGCATATTTGGATGCATCAGTTTCGCCCAGTGCGAAAGATTCCACGACTGCGCAGAATGCGCCCATTATCAAAGAGCACTGGTGTAGCAAATCAAACTGGGATACCATGGCGACATTGGGAACGTCACTGAGATATCGCAGAATGGCCCTGAGAGCCGCCACATTGTCCGCAGCGCCATCTAGCATCAGCATGAATATCTTGGGATATGCCAGCGGAGAAGGTGGGGAGCCCCACGATGGACAGCTGACCGACTGGAGTTGCTTCGCCACGAAGCGTTCGAGCCCCCCTGCGGTCGAAGCCCTGCAAACCGCAACAAGACATTTGCGCAACAGCGTGGAAGTCGCCGCGCACAAACGATGACCACGCAAAATCCCGCCTGCCCCTTGGATTTGCGCACAGCGCCTTCGTTCGCAACGCCCCCCCATGCACGCGCGCACCTCGCAGCCCGATGCGCCGCCCAGGTCGCCCAGCTGAGAACATGATGTCATACATATTGGCTGAGGCGAAACGTTGCGCCACGCACGCCGCGTGCTCGAATAGCACGACGATACTTTTACCGCTGAGCCCTCCTCGTTCCGCCCCGTCGCCGAGAATGGCAAGCACGGACGCGCGCGACGCATGCCCATGCATGTCTCTCTTGAGGGCCAGCGTGCATCCCCCAGGCAAAGATACTGATCGTTTCCCATTCCCCAGACCCAATACACCCTTCAATTCGGAAAGGTCCGTGTCCCTGGCGATGGTTTTCAATGCTTGGTTGCGTTGGACTTCAACGATTCGAAGGCGCTCGGCAAGGCGGGCTCGGTCGGCCTTCAGCTCAGCGCGCACGGCATCACTGATGACCAGCTGCTCTCGAAGCCCACCCCTCGCGACCGAATCATCAGCGTACTTCGCCAGGGCAGCCAATGAACGATCGCCAGCGAAGCCATCACTTATAGCTGCAAGTCCTGCAGAGGGTCGAGACGACTTGCTCGCCGCAATGCGCGCGACGACCTGTTCCTGGCCCCACGTGAGCGCCAGACTGCACAACGTTTGAAACGCAGCGTTCGGCTGCCCAACTGAAACTGTCAAGCTCGAAGCGTCTTCCAAGCATTTAATGCGAGCCCTCAAGGTCGCACCAGCGACGCCGCGATCTGAGCCAGTTCGGCCCCCGCTGAGAAGCCTCCGACAGAAAGCTACAACACCGGCGCCGCGGAACACGCCAATGTCAGAATGCTGAGATACGAATCTGCTGATCTGCCAGAAGACTGCCGGGGTTGGAACTGCCATGACCCTGGAGCCAAAACGGCTGCGGAAGGATGAGGAGGAGGAGGACGTGGGAGAGAAGGATGAGCTCGGTGGCAGGAGGGGTTGACCAACGTCTTTGGGGTTACGCTTGCATGTTGGATATCGCGGGCGTTTGCGTTCTGGGGGAAAGTGGTATCGCCCTGATTGCGAGGAGGTCCCTACACGAAACGCTACTTTGTTGCTGGTCAAGCTGGGTCTCACAACAGAGCACGGCATTGAGCGATTTCTTGCGAGTCGGTCTCAAGCGACAGCGGATAACTTTGTTGTGCCACGAGATGGCGTCTCATCAGCACGCATTGGTACACGTCGCTATTGCAATATAACTCAGGGGATTGCAAGCTTGCATTTATTTGCCAGGGCGCTTAGACAACTTCGACTACAAGCTCTCGTTGCGAGAGTGTCTTAGAAGATGTGGGCCCCCCACAGGTTCTGAGACATTCTCGCAATGCGGGCTGCCATTGCGAGGATATGTCATGCAGCTGTTGGCTCTCACTGCGCGGATGTCCCAGGCGTCGTTGCACGCGAAACTTGTTCCTACGCACCAAGAATCGGCACAGAGCTCGCCTGGTTAAGCAAGGCCGACCCGAATCATCAGTGTCCTTACTAAGTGCCACGAGGTTACGCAGCGACGCAACTAAACACGTAGAGTAATCCATGACGAAGCGGCCTGCACCCACATTGGCCCCACCTAAGCGGGACACGGAAAAAGCGGAACGCTGCAACTGGAGCTCACTGCACGCTCCCATGCACCACGCCAGTGTCATTGGCGAAGATGAGGTTGCCAACGCGAAGGAACCTGGGCGGATGCACAGGCTGCGCGTTGCCGATGGGGACGGGCGGCGGCTGGGCGGCGGGCTTGGCGTTCGGCTTGGCCTTGGGCTTCGGGACTGCTCTTGCCCTTGCAAGCTCCCTCCACTCTGGACAAGCGCTTCCTCGTGTCTTTCACCTCCGTGGCTATCCTCTGCTTCGCGGCCCGCCAGCACGTGATCTGCTTTGTGAGGTACACAATATTATTGTCCCGCCGAGTTTTGATCTGGTTCGAACGCTTCCGCTGGGCCCTGACATGAGCGACTGTAACCTCAGGCCTCGGCATTCCGAATCGGGAATCGGTCCTCGAATGGATTGGAAAGGCCAGGGGCGATTCGCATTCAACCGCTTGAAAATATGTCAAAGGCTGCGGAGTGGCAAGAAGAGGGTCGGCGAGAATGAACTGGTTTCGTGAAACCTGGTATAAGGTTTCGTGCTTTCGTTTCGTTTTCATGGGGGCGTTTGAGGGGTCCTTGGAAGTCCTGGAGCGTCTGGAAAGCTCATGGGGGGTCCTCCCGCTCCTCCATCCTTCCCTACTTTTCCTTCTCCGCACACTACGTTTGAGACGCGGTGCACGAGTCTTCAAGGCTTCGGGGAGGTATAGCCCAAAGCGCGACAGTCAACTCCCCAAGTCGCCGAAAATCTTGAGTTACAACCTCCTCCTCATCATCATCATCATCTTCATCATCATCATCATCATCATCATCATCATCATCATCATCATCATCATCATCATCATCATCACCATCACCATCACCACCATCATCATCATCATCATCATCATCATCATCATGCCCATCATCATCATCATCATCATCATCATCATCATCATCATCATCATCATCATCATCATCATCATCATCATCATCATCATCATCATCATCATCATCATCATCATCATCCCCATCATCCCCATCATCAGCATCATCATCAGCATCATCATCTTCATCCTCATCCTCATCCCCATCCTCATCCCCATCCTCATCCTCATCCTCCCCCCCCTCCTCCCCTCCTCCCCCTCCTCATCCCCCCTCTGGCTCCGGCCACCGTGGGCGCCGCGTCCTTGAGCACGAGCTGCATGCCGCAGTAGAGAGAATCCAACAGCACCAAGAAAAGTACGATGTGGCACGCGAACCTGCGCAGGGGCGCGGAGGGGAAAGAGCACGAGCTGCGAACATGTCCGTGTCCGCGCCGCAGCGGTCTGGATTCCGGGGCGTGATCCCTCGGAAACACGGTCGCACGGACACCTTGCGCCCGGGGCCCCCGCGAGAGAAGGCCCCGTTTAGTGGTGCGCAGCGCGCGCCTGCCACGCGCTCTCGCTGGACGCTTCCAGGGGTAAACGAGTCCAAAGCAGGTCAAGAGCGCTCCGAGAGGTTTCCGGACGGCCCAAGAGGGTCCTCCAAGACCCCAGACGGCCCAAGAGGCCTCCCAGACAAGGGCCCCAAGAGAGGCCTAAGAGGGGCAGCACGAACTGATATGTCAAACCCTCTACCCCAAGATGACCCCAGATACCGCCAGCAGGCCCCTAGAGGCCCCCACGAAGCCCCAGGAGGCCCCCGAGAGACCCCAAGAAGCCCGCTCTATGGAGCAATGGAAAAAAACAAAAAAACAAACAAAAAATAGGAATCGGGAACCGGGAACCCGCATCCGGGAACTGGATCCGAAAACCAGGAACCAAGAACCTGGGAACGGAAACCGCGGGGACCGGGGACGGGGACAGGGGAACGGGAACCGGGATCTGGTAGTGGGTCACCGGCAACCCAGAACCAGAAGCCAAAACTGGGAACCATGCAGGAACCAGAAACCGGGAAGCAAGAACGGGGAACCAGGAAGCGGGACCCGGGAACCAGGAACCTGAAACCGGGAACTGGGAAACGGGAACAAGAGAAGTAGAAACAGGGAACCAGGAACTGGGAGCCGGGAAACGGGAACTGGCAATCAGGAACCAGGGAGCCACGAAACGGGAAACACGAAGTGGGAATCAGCCAGGAATTGGGAACCAGGAGCTGGGAATTGGGATCGGGAGCCGGGAGCCAGGAACCAGAGAACGCAGGAACCCAGGACCCAGCGCAGGGAACCAGAAACCAGAAACTTGGAAACTGGGGAAGAGAGAGAGAGAGAGAGAGAGAGAGACAGAGAGCAAAAAAAAAGAGAGAGATACTGAGAGAGAGAGAAAGAGAGAGAGAGAAGAAAACAAAGCCAAAAACAAAAACAAACAAACAAACAACAAAAAAGAGGGAGAGGGAGAGGGAGAGAAAGATGGGCATGAAACTGAATTCAGATATATCATTACGTACACACTATATATACATGCATACATATATGTAGATGCATACATGCACACCTACATACATACGTACACACATACATACATACATACATACATACATACATACATGCATGCATGCATGCATGCATGCATACATACGTACGTACATGCATACATACATACATGCGTACATACATACATACATACATACATACATACATACATACATACATACATACATACATACATATATACATACATACATACATACATACATACATACATACATACATACATACATACATACATACATACATACATACATACATACATACATACATACATACATGCATACATGCATACATGCATGCATGCATGCATGCATGCATACATACATGCATACATACATGCATACATACATACATACATACATACATACATGCATATATTCGCCGGCCCAACGGGCCAAAGGCGTGCTAAGATCTCCGGTGACTGCTTTACAATCTTTCTACTTCGCGCGCGCGGGGCGGCCTCTGGGGGCCCCCGGGCGGAAAGTACCCCGGCAAGGTCCCGAGAGAGTCCCGGGAGGAGTCACCAGGGCGCTCCAGCAGCGCACCAACGCGGCTCCGAGACGTCCCCGAGAGCCCCAAGAAGGGCCAAGAGGCTTCCAAGAGGCCCCCAAGATGCTACATGAGGGGTCCGAGATGCCACAAGATCGCTCCAAGACGCCCACGATGGCCCCCAGACGCCCCAAGAGGCCTCCAAGAGCACTCCCGAGAGGGCCCCAAGAGGCAAAATTCACTGCTTTTCCTTAGGTTTTGGAGAGATTTTGGCGTTTCCACCTTTTCGGCTTCACGACACCCCAAGACGGCCCAAGAGGCCCCCAAGACCGCCCCAAGAGGGCCCAAGAGGCCCCCAAGAGGGCCCCAAGACGGCCCAAGAGGGCTCCAAGACGGCCCAAGAGGCCTCCAAGACGGCCCAAGAGGGCCCCAAGAACGCCCCAAGAGGGACCCCAGGGGGGGAACACGAAACAATATTTCGAGCCCTCGGCCCTCAGAAGTCCCCAGGAGGCCCCAAGAGGCCCCTAAGAGGCCCCAAGAGGCCCCCAACAGGCCCTCAGGAGGCCCCCAAGAGGCCCCCAAGCGGCCCCAGGAGGCCACCCAAATGCCCCCCCGAGCACGCAAGCAAGTGCCAGCGACGCTACACTATGGGCCGGCGGAATGAGCGAAGCGATTCAATAACATAATATTACATCACATTACATTACATTACATTACATTACATTACACTACATTACAATACATTACATTACAATACATTCCATTCCATTACATTACATTACATTACATTACATTACATCACATCTCATCTCATTACATTACATTGCATTACACTGCACTACACTACACTACACTACACTACATTACATAGATACATAGATACATACATACATACATATATACATACATACATACATACATACATACATGCATGCATGCATGCATGCATGCATACATACATACATACATGCATGCATGCATGCATACATACATACATACATACATACATATATACATATATATACATGCATACATACATACATGCATGCATGCATGCATACATACATGCATACATACATACATTACACTACATTGCATTACATTACATTACATACATACATACATACATACATACATGCATACATGCATACATACAGACATACAGACATACAGACATACAGACATACAGACATACAGACATACAGACATACAGACATACAGACATACAGACATACAGACATACAGACATACAGAAATACAGACATACAGACAAACATACACACATGCATACTGACCGTCGACCCTGCGTGGTCCTCGTGCGCTTGGCCTGGTGGATCGCTCGAGTTTAGGCGCCTCGCTCAGTGCGTCTGCGGATCGCACGTTCCTTCCTCAACGCATGCGCGCAATTCAAGACCAGAAAATTGGTGCTTGCAGTGTACCAGGTCACTTCCGTTGGAATTGATTCTCGATTTCCCACAGCGCGCTGCATCGAAACGAGGGCTACTCGTGGGGGAAAGCGTGTGCGTGTACATGTGAACGTGCATGTGCACGCGCACGTGCTTGTTCATACGCATGTACAGTTGCAAACATGTTTCTGTATGCTAATACATGAGCATGAGCTCGGTCTACATTGCCGGCGTAAAGGTCAGGGCCACCATGGAACAATTTGGAAACTATGTCGATGCTGCCCTAGAGCGGTGGCGGGACTTGCCGTGAGAGTTGGCGCATACATTTTTAAGAAAGAATAACGGCAGAGAGAGGAGGTGGGGGGATAGGGAGAGTAGCAACTGCAGCAGGAGCGGATGGAGCAGGAGGATTATGCAAATTTGGACTCTGCACTTGGACTTGGAGGTCGCCGGCAAGGACGGGAGGGAGGAGCGGCACCAGGAACAGAAGCAGGAAGACCAAGAGCTAGACATGGATGAGGGTGGCAGATATAGCGGAAGACGGAGGAGGGGACTGTAGGAGAGGGAGGAAGCCGAGAAGCATCAGGCATGAGTTTTGACTGCATGGATGCCAGCCTGCCCCATCAGCAATCGCCTGGGCCCTCGCTGGAATCAGCGCCACAAACCACCATGCGGCCACATCCTCCATGCTGTACTGAAGACGTGGCATCAAAGTCTACCAGAGAGGTCCTGCACGCCCAGCTCGCTCTCGAACGCGCGCAGCGGGGATCCAGTGTAGAGCGCCCAGTCGCCCCACGCGGAGCCGGTCAAGCCGTCCTGGAAAAACATTCCGATGATAGCCATCATGGCAAGACGACCGTTGGCGATCTCTGCCGCCAACTTCTTCTGCTTCTCCCCGGCATCACTGGACGTCAGCACCTTGAAGCCGAAGTCGCCTGCGGCGGCAGCGGTGCCAGCGGACTGGTCCTGGGACAGCTCGCAGAACGCGCCGTACGCCACGATCTGCGCCCAGCCCGCCGCGGGAACCTTGGAGATCGCCCGAGCCCGTTCGGGATGTCCGCGAACTTCAGGCCAGCCGAAGGCGACAAGTAGCCTGGCAGCTTGCCGGTGATCTCGGGCGTGATGTAACCCATCGTCGCCAGCATGCTCACGCGGCCGTGCTTCAGCTCTGTCTGGCGCCTCCTGGCGAAATTCGCCGTGCTACCATCCGCCGTGAACCCGGCAGGGTCCCAGAAGCCCACGGGGTCCTGCACGCCCAGCTCGCTCTCGAACGCGCGCAGCGGGGATCCAGTGTAGAGCGCCCAGTCGCCCCACGCGGAGCCGGTCAAGCCGTCCTGGAAAAACATTCCGATGATAGCCATCATGGCAAGGCGACCGTTGGCGATCTCTGCCGCCAACTTCTTCTGCTTCTCCCCGGCATCACTGGACGTCAGCACCTTGAAGCCGAAGTCGCCTGCGGCGGCAGCGGTGCCAGCGGACTGGTCCTGGGACAGCTCGCAGAACGCGCCGTACGCCACGATCTGCGCCCAGCCCGCCGCGGGAACCTTGGAGATCGCCCCGAGCCCGTTCGGGATGTCCGCGAACTTCAGGCCAGCCGAAGGCGACAAGTAGCCAGGCAGCTTGCCTGTGATCTCGGGCGTGATGTAACCCATCGTCGCCAGCATGCTCACGCGGCCGTGCTTGAGCTCTGTCTGGCGCCTCCTGGCGAAATTCGCCGTGCTACCATCCGCTGTGAACCCGGCAGGGTCCCAAAAGCCCACGGGGTCCTGCACGCCCAGCTCGCTCTCGAATGCGCGCAGCGGGGATCCAGTGTAGAGCGCCCAGTCGCCCCACGCGGAGCCGGTCAAGCCGTCCTGGAAAAACATCCCGATAATAGCCATCATGGCAAGCGACCGTTGGCGATCTCTGCCGCCAACTTCTTCTGCTTCTCCCCGGCATCACTGGACGTCAGCACCTTGAAGCCGAAGTCGCCTGCGGCGGCAGCGGTGCCAGCGGACTGGTCCTGGGACAGCTCGCAGAACGCGCCGTACGCCACGATCTGCGCCCAGCCCGCCGCGGGAACCTTGGAGATCGCCCCGAGCCCGTTCGGGATGTCCGCGAACTTCAGGCCAGCCGAAGGCGACAAGTAGCCGGGCAGCTTGCCGGTGATCTCGGGCGTGATGTAACCCATCGTCGCCAGCATGCTCACGCGGCCGTGCTTGAGCTCTGTCTGGCGCCTCCTGGCGAAATTCGCCGTGCTACCATCCGCTGTGAACCCGGCAGGGTCCCAAAAGCCCACGGGGTCCTGCACGCCCAGCTCGCTCTCGAATGCGCGCAGCGGGGATCCAGTGTAGAGCGCCCAGTCGCCCCAGGCGGAGCCGGTCAAGCCGTCCTGGAAAAACATCCCGATGATAGCCATCATGGCAAGGCGACCGTTGGCGATCTCTGCCGCCAATTTCTTCTGCTTCTCCCCGGCATCACTGGACGTCAGCACCTTGAAGCCGAAGTCGCCTGCGGCGGCAGCGGTGCCAGCGGACTGGTCCTGGGACAGCTCGCAGAACGCGCCGTACGCCACGATCTGCGCCCAGCCCGCCGCGGGAACCTTGGAGATCGCCCCGAGCCCGTTCGGGATGTCCGCGAACTTCAGGCCAGCCGAAGGCGACAAGTAGCCGGGCAGCTTGCCGGTGATCTCGGGCGTGATGTAACCCATCGTCGCCAGCATGCTCACGCGGCCGTGCTTGAGCTCTGTCTGGCGCCTCCTGGCGAAATTCGCCGTGCTACCATCCGCTGTGAACCCGGCAGGGTCCCAAAAGCCCACGGGGTCCTGCACGCCCAGCTCGCTCTCGAACGCGCGCAGCGGGGATCCAGTGTAGAGCGCCCAGTCGCCCCACGCGGAGCCGGTCAAGCCGTCCTGGAAAAACATTCCGATGATAGCCATCATGGCAAGGCGACCGTTGGCGATCTCTGCCGCCAACTTCTTCTGCTTCTCCCCGGCATCACTGGACGTCAGCACCTTGAAGCCGAAGTCGCCTGCGGCGGCAGCGGTGCCAGCGGACTGGTCCTGGGACAGCTCGCAGAACGCGCCGTACGCCACGATCTGCGCCCAGCCCGCCGCGGGAACCTTGGAGATCGCCCCGAGACGTTCGGGATGTAGGTCCGCGAACTTCAGGCCAGCCGAAGGCGACAAGTAGCCAGGCAGCTTGCCGGTGATCTCGGGCGTGATGTAACCCATCGTCGCCAGCATGCTCACGCGGCCGTGCTTGAGCTCTGTCTGGCGCCTCCTGGCGAAATTCGCCGTGCTACCATCCGCTGTGAACCCAGCAGGGTCCCAAAAGCCCACGGGGTCCTGCACGCCCAGCTCGCTCTCGAACGCGCGCAGCGGGGATCCAGTGTAGAGCGCCCAGTCGCCCCATGCGGAGCCAGTCAAGCCGTCCTGGAAAAACATTCCGATGATAGCCATCATGGCAAGACGACCGTTGGCGATCTCTGCCGCCAACTTCTTCTGCTTCTCCCCGGCATCACTGGACGTCAGCACCTTGAAGCCGAAGTCGCTGCGGCGGCAGCGGTGCCAGCGGACTGGTCCTGGGACAGCTCGCAGAACGCGCCGTACGCCACGATCTGCGCCCAGCCCGCCGCGGGAACCTTGGAGATCGCCCCGAGCCCGTTCGGGATGTCCGCGAACTTCAGGCCAGCCGAAGGCGACAAGTAGCCGGGCAGCTTGCCGGTGATCTCGGGCGTGATGTAACCCATCGTCGCCAGCATGCTCACGCGGCCGTGCTTGAGCTCTGTCTGGCGCCTCCTGGCGAAATTCGCCGTGCTACCATCCGCTGTGAACCCGGCAGGGTCCCAAAAGCCCACGGGGTCCTGCACGCCCAGCTCGCTCTCGAACGCGCGCAGCGGGGATCCAGTGTAGAGCGCCCAGTCGCCCCACGCGGAGCCAGTCAAGCCGTCCTGGAAAAACATTCCGATAATAGCCATCATGGCAAGACGACCGTTGGCGATCTCTGCCGCCAATTTCTTCTGCTTCTCCCCGGCATCACTGGACGTCAGCACCTTGAAGCCGAAGTCGCCTGCGGCGGCAGCGGTGCCAGCGGACTGGTCCTGGGACAGCTCGCAGAACGCGCCGTACGCCACGATCTGCGCCCAGCCCGCCGCGGGAACCTTGGAGATCGCCCCGAGCCCGTTCGGGATGTCCGCGAACTTCAGGCCAGCCGAAGGCGACAAGTAGCCAGGCAGCTTGCCTGTGATCTCGGGCGTGATGTAACCCATCGTCGCCAGCATGCTCACGCGGCCGTGCTTGAGCTCTGTCTGGCGCCTCCTGGCGAAATTTGCCGTGCTACCATCCGCTGTGAACCCGGCAGGGTCCCAAAAGCCCACGGGGTCCTGCACGCCCAGCTCGCTCTCGAACGCGCGCAGCGGGGATCCAGTGTAGAGCGCCCAGTCGCCCCACGCGGAGCCGGTCAAGCCGTCCTGGAAAAACATTCCGATGATAGCCATCATGGCAAGGCGACCGTTGGCGATCTCTGCCGCCAACTTCTTCTGCTTCTCCCCGGCATCACTGGACGTCAGCACCTTGAAGCCGAAGTCGCCTGCGGCGGCAGCGGTGTCAGCGGACTGGTCCTGGGACAGCTCGCAGAACGCGCCATACGCCACGATCTGCGCCCAGCCCGCCGCGGGAACCTTGGAGATCGCCCCGAGCCCGTTCGGGATGTCCGCGAACTTCAGGCCAGCCGAAGCGACAAGTAGCCAGGCAGCTTGCCTGTGATCTCGGGCGTGATGTAACCCATCGTCGCCAGCATGCTCACGCGGCCGTGCTTGAGCTCTGTCTGGCGCCTCCTGGCGAAATTTGCCGTGCTACCATCCGCTGTGAACCCGGCAGGGTCCCAAAAGCCCACGGGGTCCTGCACGCCCAGCTCGCTCTCGAACGCGCGCAGCGGGGATCCAGTGTAGAGCGCCCAGTCGCCCCACGCGGAGCCGGTCAAGCCGTCCTGGAAAAACATTCCGATGATAGCCATCATGGCAAGGCGACCGTTGGCGATCTCTGCCGCCAACTTCTTCTGCTTCTCCCCCGCATCGCTGGACGTCAGCACCTTGAAGCCGAAGTCGCCTGCTGCGGCAGCGGTGCCAGCGGACTGGTCCTGGGACAGCTCGCAGAACGCGCCGTACGCCACGATCTGCGCCCAGCCCGCCGCGGGAACCTTGGAGATCGCCCCGAGCCCGTTCGGGATGTCAGCGAACTTCAGGCCAGCCGAAGGCGACAAGTAGCCAGGCAGCTTGCCGGTGATCTCGGGCGTGATGTAACCATCGTCCCAAAGCATAGCGCACGCGGCCGTGCTTGAGCTCTGTCTGCGCCTCCTGGCGAAGTTCGCCGTGCTACCATCCGCCGTGAACCCAGCAGGGTCCCAGAAGCCCACCGGGTCCTGAACGCCAAGCTCGCTCTCGAACGCGCGCAGAGGGGATCCCGTGTAGAGCGCCCAGTCGCCCCAGGCGGAGCCAGTCAGACCGTCCTGGAAGAACATGCCGATGATGGCCATCATGGCAAGGCGACAGTTCGCGATCTCCGCCGCAAGCTTCTTCTGCTTCTCCGCGGGGTCGCTGGACGTAAGCACCTTGAAGCCGAAGTCGCCGGCCGCGGCAGCGGTGCCAGCGGACTGGTCCTGGGACAGCTCGCAGAACGA